GACTGTCCAAGCCGGGCCTCGAACCGGCAACCTTCCGATTACAAGGCGAACGCCCAACTCTTGATTGTGGCTCAAGAGTCAAGCATACAAATTTACTCCCACTAAAGACACTCCTTTTTTCTGAACCTAGTTTGATTAATTAGTCATGGAATCTTCTGTGTACTTTAAAAATAAGTTACATGATAGTTTTGTTTCCACTTACAGCCTCCCAACTTGAAAAAGCATTTAATATGTTGTGGGCTGTAAAGTGTGCTTAGATGCTGACGATGTAACTGAGTTCTGCCAATTAAAACTAAGAAAGTAAATGAAGTTGAAACAACTAAAGCTTACATATGTTAGAATCAGCTGATACTTCATTATCTTCATGGGTGAGGAGGCGTTTTGCTAAGTGTGTGAAAATACCCAGAATATCCAGATTTCTAATGGATGCACATTAAGATGATCGGCCGTTCCAGTGCTAGATTTCCCCTTTATAAGATGTTATCGAGAGTTGATCTACAGTAGTTTGAAGAAGAAGTCCAGTCTTGTAAAAGTTTATAAACAAAAAGAAGCCATATCTCCCTTGATGTCTAAGGAACTTGGAAAGAAAAGTGTCTGGACTTCTTTAAGTTGCTTGAAGTCTGCAGAGTCTGCAGATTCCTGGCCTGACGAGCTACCTCGTCAGGCCAGGACTGCAGTCTATTTACACCTACAGGCCAGTGGACACTCTTTCAATGATGAGGATGTTCACATCTTGGACAGGGAGGAACGCTGGTTTGAGTGCGGGAGTCAAGGAGGCCATTTACGTGAAAAGGGAAAGACCATCTCTGAATCAAGGAGGGGGCCTAAGGATACATCTTTCGCCATCTTACAAGGCTGCGATTGAAGCCATTCCCCAACTCTCTGTGAATGGGACTCATGGCCACTAATCAGTGGGTTTTGGTCAGTGGTTGTTGATCAATGGTCATGAGAATTTGCATAATTATGATTAAGGAACTGACCTCCCAGTCCATTGTTCCTTCAGTGGGCTGGTTTCAGTCATTATGCAAATGTACTGTTTATATGATTGGGGAAACCTGCAGTCAGCTGAGATTGAAGAAGTCACTTGGATGAGTGACGAAACGTTTCTCCCACAAAACGCTACGTCCAGATGAACAGAATCAACTTTTGGAGATTTACTTACCTGAATGATTGAGCATGCATCAAGACGTTTGTACTGTTGTCTTTCATTTAGTACCACTCAGTAATACTTAACAGTGCAAAAATACTGGTTCTCAGCCATTATTTCTGCACTGTTATATATAATCTTATGTCAAATGTTTTGGCCATTATTGCGCCTCTAAATCGTGTCTATCTCAGCCCCCCTCCCCCCAGCCCTCTCTTTTTACTGGAGGGCTGTTATGATGTCACTGTACACCAAGTGCCTTGTAAATGCAGTGACCCTGACTCATAGGGGACATATGAGTCTGTGTGTATGTGTGAGAATAAAACTATGTCCCCGGGATGTTAGTCAAAGGGCTACCCTTTGTGAAGCCTGTTCACTGTATAGTGTATTTTTCTTCTTTGCCCCCCTCCAAACATCTCCCTTTCCACCACACGTTTGATGTCTGTTGGACATTTTGTTTGACCAAAAAAAAAAAAAAAAAAAGAAAAGAAAAGAAAGAAAAATAAAAGCTTTCAACAACACAACACATGCATGCTCAAAAACCTCCTTAGATAGGAGACAGTGAGGCAGACAAGGCGAGTGGAAGAAGGCAGACTGAAAGATGAGGACA